GTGATACTGTACATGATGTCCTCCACCCCCGAACGTTTCCGTCGTTCCGGTTTTGGGGTGTGACACCGAATCCCTCAAACCAAGGCTCTGATACCAACTTGGAACGTCCCAAAAATACGACAAAAATTTTCGTTCTTAAACCATCAAATTCGTACAACCATTTGTTACAAACCAAGCATTGAAAAATATATCTTTTAAACATTAGAGTAATACATAACAATCAATACGGAAAAGCCATCAAGAGATGTTGTGCAATCAAGCCAGACCCTTCCCTTCTAAACTTGATGTACCTAAAAATATTTAAACCATAAAATCGTAAACATAAAGCTTAGTGAGTTCCCCGAAATACCACATACCATACATATCAGTATGCCCAACCCTAATGGATGTTATGATCTAACCATAGTTTTACAATCACTCCCAGATTACAGCCTGACCATAACCTTTCTACCATGATCCAACCATGGTCTTCCATGCAAGTCGCAAAGACAAACAAGTGTTGTGATCCAACCAAAGTCTTTCATATAAGTGTTGTGATCCAACAACAGTCTTTCATATAAATGTAATCCAACCATAGTCTTTTAGACAAGTGATATGATCCAACCACACTCTTTCATACAAGTGATGTGATGCAACTACAATCTTTCATGCGAGAGTCACAGAGACAATATTCCAGTCTACATAATATAGTGAGAAGACTCGCCTTGCCAATGCAGTCCACAACTAACAACTCTCATAGCCAACGAATGGTTGCTAAACACCTCGAAGGTCCAAAATATGCACGAGAATGATGATGAGGTTTCCTTGATGGAATAACACACTAGAACACCTTCTTCTTCTTCTTTAAGCTACCAAAAGTACCAAATAAGCCAAGAATCACCAAGAGGGATTAGGGTTAGAGTTTCTAAGGTTTGAGATTGATAGAGGTTGAGGAGCATTCCCTAATCCCTGGGGCATGATGCTTAAATATGAGAGAAACCCTAAAATCATGCGCTTGGGCCAGAACAGATGCCACGTCATGGCCATCTTACTGCCACGTCGTGCTACTCATCAGATGGACGCGTTGCATTTAAGTCATGCCACGTCATGGTCATCCATATACCAGGTCGTGGCATGGATTTTTTTCCCTAAAAACTCCATCTTTGATCCCCTATGTCTTAAGCTAAACCAATCGGGAAAACAGGTGTCACAATACTAGTAAACCCAGTTCTGAACACTAAAAAAGTATTACTAGAATATATGTACTTGAGATATATACGTAAGTATGGACTACATGGTGGAAGCCATCCAGTTGTAATTAAAGGTTACATCAATGCAAATTGTACATCTGATATAAAGGATTCCAGATCTACAAGTGGTTATGTGTTAAGACTTGGAGGTGCGGCTATATCTTTGAAATCGTCTAAACAATATAGATAGACTATGTGAAGTCAAAATATAACATTGCAGATCCTCTTACTGAAGGCTTGAGTATAGATGTAGTTTATAAGTTGTCGGAGTAATGGGGTTAAAGCCCTTGAATGACTAAATTCATGAAAATGAAACCTTAACCAAAAGACTGGAGATCACAAGATTTGGGTTTAAAAGGAAAAACTAGTTGTATTAGTGAGGGAGATCACTGCAGGGAATAAACTTCCTAGTCAATTCCTATAATTAGTGAGAAGTTAGGCTAAGCACATGACTTTTAATGATTATTTGAATCACATATGTGAGAGAGAAGTGAGGTCGCTTCGAAGGTAATTGTACAATTCTTAAAGGATCTTGTAGAACCACGTTAGTGTTTCGTGACCATAACGAACATGACTATAAGGATATGAAATTATTAGGAAGAGTCTTGTATGAATTATAATGTCTTTTACATAAATGGCAGCTCATTTCAAGGACATCGTGTCTACTGACAGCTAGGAGACTAAGTATAGTTCTCAAGGAAGGGTTCAAAGGGTAACACCTACCTATCCTATGCAATATTCATCTATTGGAATTTTATTCATCCTATGCAATATTCATCTGTATGGAAATTTCATGTACAGAGATCAATCTCCATTTATATGGGGGATTGATGTAAATTTTAATAAAAAATATTTACTTTTATTAAACTTTAGATACATATATATATATATATATATATATATATATATATATATATATATATATATATATATATATATTGTATTT